TGTGAGATATCGTTGGCTAACACATGCGACCTCTCTTTTACCCCCCACTTCTGATTTGTTAGCCAACTTTTAAAGCATCAAGCGCTAACATAGGATTTGGGCTTCTATGGGACTTCTGAATTTTTTGCCTAGAGACTCGGAGGGTAAACAGCGCGATAAATTGGAAAGGCGATACGATGCAATGCGTCGAGTCTCAGACTTGGGCCTCGGGAGAAACTCCACCGATTTATCCTAGGCGTTCAACGTGTTAACACATTCGCAACCGATACATTTTTTCCGTTTCAAATACTGAGTACCGGCGAAAATAATGAAATTCTGAAACTAGTTGCCGCAAACTTGTATCGTGTATCGTAACGGACGTGATCACGTCAGCGGCAATCAGGAATAGAATTTATAATGACGTGAATTCACGTCGGCGGCAATCAGAAATATAATTTTAAAATTCACGTCGGCGGCAATCAGGAATAGAATTTAAAATGACGTGAATTCACGTCGGCGACAATCAGAAATATAATTTTAAAATTCACGTCGGCAGCAATCAGGAATAGAATTTAAAATGACGTGAATTCACGTCGGCGGCAATGAGGAATAGAATTAAAAATTACGTGAATTCACGTCGGCGGCAATCAGAAATAGAATTAAACCCTCTATGGGCCCGTGTAACTTTCAGGTCACATTTTAAATGAAAAATTTTTTTTCATTTACATATATAGGTTCCTAATTGCAGATTTTTCGTTCCCCCATTTTTTTTTTATTTAAAACAAAAATTCGGCCCATAGAGGGTTAAAATGACGTGAATTCACGTCAGCGGTCGCGAATGTGTTAATTAGCCGAAGAAAAGTGACACCCGTTTACGGTGTGACGTGGCGTCCAACGTGTTAATGAAATATAATCGGCCTTAGTATAAACAGATCGCAATGTCATTAATCAGAGTGTGGATAAATTCCGGAATCCGGCATGAGTAACTACACAATGTAGAATTAATTCCACTAGTGGACGTGCGTTGACGGTGTCCAATAATAAAACGGTGCGATTAAAAACGAATAAAAAAAAGGCAAAAAAAAGAAACAAGTCTCTCTTCGACCCAACAAACAGTAAGGACCAGTGAACATAGTGAAACGAATGGCCGCGTTTTCACTTATACTAAGCTGCCCCGGGTAACATCGCTCCGTTTTGTCCTCGTTTCTTGCGATTCGCAGCTTTGATATTAGATCTATCGTTCGGTTGCGTGGAGATATATATACATATACAATATATACGCTGATAAAGTATCGGTCCGGCCACGGAGTCGCCCTACAAGGACATGGGTGGCACATCGTGGACTTTCATTCGCAGCCGAGGATGCACCTGCATCTCGCGAATTATGGCTGAACATACACCTCCATCGTAACAAAATATTCCTCTACACAGGGTCTCATCTATGCCCTCGTCCGATGGACATGCGTGTCGAATCCGCGAGATGCGACAGAGGAAACGCCACTCCTCGTTTATTTTTTTTATATCTTTCTTTTGCGTAACTGCCCCAGTAGTTACTAGTCACAGAGATGAGCGGGGAGATGTTTCACGCCATTGTCGAAAGGGAGTCACGGCTCCCTTGTGCCGTGGATAGAGTTCGAAAATTCTCGGTAACATTAAATTGGAGAAGGTAACTGTGAAACATACCGTAAGTTACCGGGAACATTGAGAATTTAAGAGAACGTTAATTTTGTTATTTATACTTTAGGCTTCTTCGTTTAAATAACTTTTTTTTTTCAATCAACTTCAAAGTTCAACCTAAAGAGTAATAATTACTATTAGAAAATATTGATTATAGGGTGGTATTTACCTCCAGCTAAAAATATTCACGTTTGTACAACTTCACGGAAAATTCCATGCGATTTGTTTCAAATGAACTGATATTTCATTCTGCGACGAAGCGAATGGGAGGTTTTGATTGGCTACGGAGAACATACAACGGAAATTCCCCTCTACGATGTTTCTCTATAGCTAATCGAAACCTCTCGTTCGCTCTGTTGAAAAATTCAAATTCTCATAATTTCTCGATAAACAAGGCTTTGGAGAAATTACCGATAAGTTACCGGGAATTTCTCTTCGTTTCTGACGTAACTTACTGGATTTAGAACTCTAGCCGTGGAACTGCTTTCAAAGGAGCGAAATCTTCTCAATAGGTAAAGGAGAACGCTCCTGAAGATTTTAAATACAGCACGGTATCGACAGAATAAAGTTATCGCCTATTCGCTTTTAGTATCGGGGTCAACGTGTGTTGGGAAAGAAGACTACGAATACCGAATAAAGTTGTTACGCGTGGATAATTGAGATTACGACGTGCACCCACGTATACCCTGTTTTACCGATCACGGAGATTTCGCCACTTTGAAAGTAGTTCCAAGTTTTACAGAGGTGTATAGGGCGTAGAGGGCGCCAGGGGGCCTTGCCTCCCTTTCGAAGAATGGCGGGAAATATCTCCCTGCTCATCTTTGCTAATCATATGACGCATCAAATGCTTCAAACGATTAACTACAAAACTGGATAGTCCCATGAGTTCGCGGAGAAATACTTTCTGCAACGAACTTACATCGGGAATAATTGTGGAAATATATATATATAAAACTGCCAAGAAAGTGGCAAGGGGCGATCAGAAGTACCGGAGAACAGATTAATTAAGGTGAAGTGAAAAACGTCGAGGAACTTGATTGACGTCGATTAAGAAGATTTTTCTAAATACCTACGTTGCGGACGTTCGTTTTTATATTGACAGCTGGGTCGAATTATAATGAGTATTGTACTAAATGGTGTACTCAATCTGTTCTTTTCGTACAATAATTATAAAGAAATCGAAGTAAAACTTCAGAAACCCTCTGGAATCATTGTTTCTGAGACCCTAATTGACTGCAGAGGGATCTCTGCGCCATCTGTGAATTTCCATGTCAACCAAATTTTCACTCCGAGGCTTCATATTTCTGTAGTTTTAGCATAGAAGCGCATAAGACACTTTTTTTGCCTTTATCCCGTTCAAATGCGAGTTTATCGAATACCAGAGTGTTCTAAATTGTTGTAAAATTGTCCTAACCCTTTCGATTCACATATCAGAGCTTTCGATAATTGTATATTGATCGAAATATGAGAGCTCGATCCCATTTTGGTTCTGGTTTGGGTTAAGTTAAACAATTTTTTCCAAAAATCCACATTTTGAACGTATCAGGACAATTCTTAGATTATCAGAAGTGATGTGTCAAAGTTTCGGACAGTTTGGTTTAATACCTTTAAAAAAAAGAGTTGTATTCGAATCGACTGATTTGAAGGGGGTTTCACTTCACCTTAATATACGGTTCATTTCGTCGCAGGGAAAGAATTATCCGAACTTTTACAATTTCTTCCGGGAATTTATGGAACAACGCAATATATCTCGCACCCGCCCTCGTTCATGCCGTTAGTTATCGGTACAACTCCGGTTACAGTAAAAATGACTTTAAATACAAGCTTGACTCGATTTTTCAAAAATTGAAATATTCGACTCGCCGCAATTCCCAGTAATCACCTGGTTTATCAATCTCGAACATTTCACAGGGCTCCAAGAGACCGGCGGACATAAGACTAGGTTCTCCTCTATGTCACGTATCGACAGAACGAACAAAAGGCTGCGACTCGATATGAAAGAGGGAGTAAACTCGCCCTTTTCGTTCTCCCCGAGAACGTAGAACTTCCTGGAGGGATCCTTGGAAGAACGTGTACCAAAGAATACGGAATCCTCCCCGGGACATTTCAAATTCCCACTGCTCATCCTAACAAGGAAACATTCCCAAGTGTCCACCCCCGATCTTATTGATTTTCATGTATGTTGAAGAACACAAAAATCTAAGAGACACGTGTTTTTTTATATCTGCATTGGTCCACATTTAAGGGGTGAAACAATCCCCCAAGGGTTGGCGAAAATTCGATTTTTATAATAATTTTCGTAGAAGCAATGGAGGGATTTCGACGAAACTTGGTATAAACGTATTCCGTATAAGGACGGTGAAAACACAATATTGCCCAGCAATGCTACACCCCCCCAAGGGGGTGAACTATTCTTCAGGCGACATTTTTTTGTAATATCTAATAAACGAGCACTCCTACTTAAGTTCCACTTACGCGATGTGATTGCTCACAAAAAATGAAGAAATACGTATTTTTTGCATTTTGCCATTAAACCTTTACACATCGGTTGTAAACAATGAATGTAGGTGGTATACGGGGATATTTCGACTAGCTATGTTGGATTATATCGTGACCAATTCATTGTACATAAATCTTGTGAACGTGCTTATTCCTCAAAATGTCCTTGGTTTTCATAGCATGCAATTATTTATAAATAAATTTTAAAAAAGGTTTAAGAGACTAAAATAGTATCGCAACAGATCCGATGACGCAGTCATCACCCGTTTCCAACTAGTAATACAATCTCCTTGGTGAAACGGTAAAATTGGATTTTTACTCTTTTTATGAAAATAGAGTTCGCGATATTCGTAAATAATTGCATACTATGAAAACCAACGACATTTTGAGGAATTAGCACGTTTACAAGATTTATGTACAATGAATTGGTCCCTATATAACCCAATAAAGCTACTCGGAATATACCCGTACGCCACCTACATTCATTGTTTACAACCGATGTGTAAATGTTTATTGGTAAAAAGCAAAAAACACGGATTCTTCATTTTTTGTGAGCAATCACATCGCGTAAGTGGAACTTAAGTAAGAGTGCGTGTTTAATAGATATTACAAAAAAATGTCGCCTGAAGGGTAGTTCACCCCCTTGGGGGGGTGTAGCATTGCTGGACAATATTGCGTTTTCACCGTCCTTATACGGAATACGTTTATACCAAGTTTCGTCGAAATCCCTCCACTGCTTCTACGAAAATTATTATAAAAATCGAATTTTCGCCAAACCTTGGGAGGTTGTTTCACCCCTTAAATGTGGACCATTGCAGATATAAAAACGACACGTGTCTCTTAGATTTTTGTGTTCTTCAACATATATGGAAATCAATAAGATCGGAGGCGGACACTTGGGAATGTTTCCTTGTAAGTACCGAGGCTACCTATTAAGAGTTCCCTGATACACGTACCTTTCCAACCCGGCGATGGATCGCGGCACAACACGTTGTTTATTTTATTCCTACTCCCGCACTCCCCGAGAACCTCGGGCACACAGAAGGAGATCGACCTTCGCTGTAAAAACGACTCACAAAGTTCCTCCCAACGCGTTGCAACCAGTGGTTCCTTCCTTTCCGCTGCCTCCCTTATATTCAATGTATTTATACTTATACATATACATCTTGCACGATATACATATGTACATCCAGATGCAATCACTTGTGTACAAGACACGCCGTATGCCCTCTCGCAAATGCAAACATACTCCGGCTAGATGAATCCTACGACTCTAGGTAACTTAAAGAGACATGGACCGATGTAATATTGCGTGGAGTATTTGCCTTGCTTAGAACACTTTTCTTCTAAGAGACCTAAGCGGCAGTAACTAGCGCCCCAACACTCGAGGAAGCGAAGAGCTGTACAATTACAGTTTCAATCTCTACCGTCCCCAGTTCTAGTAACAAAATGTTGTACTCTTCCTCCATTTCTCCCAACTCGACGTCCAGTTTAGTCTCAGATCGAATCTCCCCATTGAATGTAACGCGTCGTGTGCCGCGATTCTAAGGTTCCCACGTAACGATATACATATAGCTGCATGCTTTCCTCCTTTTTCCTTCTTTATCAAGCCTGTCCGCCACTCCATCACGTCCGAAAGAATCCCCAAGCATTTATGAGGAGCTTAACACCTCTGGCAGTACTCCGACGTCCATGTATGAACAAAGCACACCGTCGATCGTACACAGGTCGTACTCGAAGCTTGCGCGTTACGACTTACTCGCACTGCAACAATTAGAACAATCAAAGCAGCTGGCGTGCTATCTTTTAATGGACCAGGGTCCTTTGTTACTGTTGCCCGTTCCACTGCACATACGTTGGCCCTGCAACTCGGCAATGGTTTCTTGAAGGTTCTTCTTCTCTTGCAGCAAGCTCGTTATGCTCTCCTGGGCGGCGTTTAGACACGTCCTTAGGACGTCGGACTCCTCCTTGGCTCTTCGCAATTTAGTGTTCTCCTCCGATAATCTTTCGAACGCAGCGAGACGTCTCTTCAGTTCCTCGTTGTCCGACCGTAGCTGTTTACTCGCCATTCTCAGAGTACTCAACTCGATTTCTTTCTCCACGTCCCTCGAGTCGTTAGCATTCGACACCGTCACGTTGGAGCAACTCTCACCCAACTGGTTCACTGTAAACCGAAAAAGTAAGATCAATCACTGGTAAGCACGTTGAAATTAAAATGTGAAAAGGGTATGAGCTTCGTTCGACTTCTTTTGGGGCGAATGGCGGGTTTGCTAAAGCGACGAAGTGCACGCCTCTATCGCCGACGTGGTTGGACGAGAATGGACATTACTTGAATATTCTTTCATTGTCATGCAGTCACTATTGGTTGCTTCTGCGAGTTCTGCAAAGCACAGAGGAGCCGCAAGGCTCGGCGACCGTATGATTTTCCTTCTAGATTGCCACAAGCATGATCGGTGAATCGATTCTTCAACCGTGCTCATACGACCGTACGATCACTAATTCGCAAAGAATTTCTCTACGCTAAACCGTGCCGAGGCAAGCAACTGAAGCTAGAACTAACTTCTAATTGTGTTGTACCAATGCTCACATTCGAAAGGCCTTCTGGGTGCACAGAACAATTATGCGATTATAATATACCTTATGCAATTACTTAAGAACATCTGCCACTTGCGTTAAATATTACTATATACAAGGTCTAAGAATCCGTCGATACACATCTCCAGAATGTGACCCTCAATTGTCTCTATTTCAAATGATTTCAATCAGTTACCATATACAAGTTTAAGCCATTGACGTTGCAAGTGGCAGCTACAGCGGTACAGATTAACGCGTTAATGCTGCATGAATTACTTACCAACTGGTTCGATATGAAAAACTCCACCGACATCCCTAGATATCCTAAGTCTGGATATACTCAAGTCAATGGGTATCGGACCAGGGGATGTTATATTGTTTGGTGGTCGGTCTTCATTCAATCGTAACGATATATTTTCTAAATATATCTGTAATTTGGAGAAATTAAATTACACATAATTGTAAATTGTGCATTAAGTTATTAAATGGTATATATAAATAGAGCAGTACCTGCATAGGGATCGGTTTAGGTATAACTTCATCTTCCGCCAGATCTGCGAGTCCTGTGACGGAACTCATGGACAGCGTCAGGGGTACGTCGTTGACCTTAACCTCCAACTTATCCTCGAAAAGAGCCATGACGCTGTTCTTGTCGTGTAAATCAATGTCGTAAATGCGAGATTCTGGCTCCGCCAGTCTGCTGCGGTCCTGCGAGGACCTTCTGCTGCTGTCACTCGTACTCTGACTAGCTTGAGACAATCTCCGAGAATCTTCTTTATTTTTTAATCCGTGATCCAACCGCACCTTGACGCGAGACCTGCAGTCCGCGTCCGAAGGCAACTCGACCCATCCTCTTGGACGGGAACTGAACTTTGTCTGGCAACAAAATTGCATTAATGCACCGTATCTTTCTTTCCTCGGCAAAGTAAATTCTAACCTCACTACTTTCATATTTGCAACTTTTTCCAAACAGCCCTTCATTTTCTCAAGGAAAAAAAAACAGGACAAAAAGAATCACGACAATCCTCTTTTCAAGTTTTTTTTTTTTATCAGTGAAAGAATTTTGTGTTCTTTATAAACATTTCATTACTCTCAAGACACGACACTAAACAGGGAATCCGATCGATTATCCATGAATATTCTTTTTCATACTAAAAGCTATCTCACTCTGATTAACACTTGGTATAAGTAGAAGCCAGAGTCAAATGCACTTTGCACGTTATCTTTTGCAATGTTCTCCACTCGTAGGGCTGCATCATGCACGAACTAACCTTGCTATTCACTGCCAGAATGCAAAGCTGACATGCGTTTGCAAAACGAAATGCATTGCTTGCGTAAACATTAAAGCTAGTTTACATCGAGCTCAAATGCAGCGTTAAGCTTTACATCCTGACTACTTGTAAATTAGTATATTATACTGCTATATAGTAATAGGATATAATTCCACGTTTACTGTTGGGCCTGTGATTTCGAATAATTACGAAGAAACGACAAATGTTGCTTCCGTCGAATATACCATGCAACTGTTGGGTGCCTAATATAGGTAAAATATAAATGTTCCGCCAATACCTTTTTCTTGGCCTGCCACAAGTGCCACATAAAAACATTCACAAGAGAAGGAGAGACGCGGGAGAAGGCATGCAAAAAAGTTGAGATAAAAATTGTATGAATATAATATGTATAATGTAGAATGGACTTAAGGCAATGAAGTGACACAAATCACTGTCGAACTACTCGAAGTGTCATTCTGCATTGAAAAATCACTTTGTAAGTCTCTACATTCTTTAGCTCGTTATTTTATATATCAGCTTTGTTATTACATCTTTCAAGAATGCCGAATGAGGAAGATGCCTTCCACTCCAAAATATATGTACCTTCTCTCTCCGACAGTCCGACAGACTGTGTTCGCTTTCATTATTAACAAAGAATCGAGTACGAGAAAAAAAACTCACCTGAAATTCATCCCAGGGTATTGACGAGCACTCCTCGCTGCCAATATTGGAAACCTGTACCTTTATGCTCGAAGAGAAGCCAGTTGACTGTTGTATAAACTCTACTTTCGAAAGCTTGAACGTCACCATCGAAACCTGGTCATGTAACGGCAGATGGTTAAAAAGAGTCGTGCATTCCTTTTGTAAGATAATGAATTTCAAATAAATATAAAAAGGTCAAAGGTTCCGATTTTTTCATAATCATATTTCATTTCATGGACTCGTTAGATCGGTGGTATAATCGTAAGCAACTTGAAAATTATAGTATAACCTAAAACTAGGATATTTTCAAAAGGTCTTACGAGATCTTTCCTTTTACAGGCACTGTCCAGAGACCTGACACTCTGGGTATCCGGCGTTTCCTCGAGAACTTCACTGGCTTCCTCAACAGCAGTTATCCTCAGAGGACTACCGATATTGAAAGCCATGTCAGCCTTCTCTTGCTCCTCCAATGATACGATGATGTAATTATCACTGTCAGAACTAACATCACTCCTCATAGACACCGTATCACTGCTGCCATCCTCGGGTGAAGGTTTCAGGGCCGAATCAATGGACGTCATGAGATTGCTAAAGCCCTTCTTCATGGAGGACAACCCAACGTTGAAGTTGTTTGGAATGAAAGGTGCATTCTTTCCATCGGACTTACGCTTATGTGAAGATACTTGTTCTCCCTCCGCTCTCCAGTCGACACTACTCGTACTATAAATCGGTTGCTGGTCGATTTTACCATTTTCATTCTGTTTGAAGGTAACGGTGGCTTGAGTCGTAGCGACCGAGTGGGTAAAGTCCATCGACACCATAGACGACACTTCACTCTGCGGAGTCTCTACATCATTGCTAGTGTTCATGCGTTTTGCAGCAAATTCTATGCGAGTACTTGTAGCATTAGCTTGCCAGGGAGCAGATGGACCGAGATCTTCGGCAATGCTCGACGAGTCGGGCACCACGGATTCCAGATCACCGCCTGAATTCTCCTTTCCAGGTGTCTGCGAAGGCATAACGAACGTCACCTCCACTTGGGGCACCAGAGCTCCGATAACCAGAGAGCCTCCAGACTCCACCTTCAAGATTTTATTTGAATCGACTGCTAAGTATGTTGCCATCTCTGCTAGCACCTCCGACAAGCGCAATAGAAATAGATACTGATAATGATTAATCTGCACGCTGACGAGGTTGCTGACATACGCCATGCCATGGATATCGGCTAGCTCTGGGTTGCTGGCGGTGGGGTTTAGTTTTACATGCAGCCACAAGGTCAATGGAAAGGCATCCAAGAAGGGTACAGGTCGGTTTTGACCCACTGCTCGAGCCCCCAGGAAGTCACCCCACACTGGGTCGAAATTGCAGCACCACACATCCTTAGCTTCTGTCCATAACAATTCTTTGTTCAACTGACGAACCATCTCTTGCACCGAGTTGCTGGTGAAGTTTGGGGGGACAGTGCGAACCCCATCGGTTCCTACATTCGAAGACATTTGAATTGCCACCAGGAGGATAACGATACGATATCTTGTCATTTCCATGTATATCGACTACACTTACCAGCACAGTGTTCCACGAACTTCTCTGCGACGACTCGGAAATCTCCCTGCTTGCTTGGAAACTCCGTCCCGAAGAACATCTGACCCATCTGGAAGGCATTCAGACATTGTGCTAGATCTGCTCTCGAAGAGTTATCGGTCGATCTGACATTCGTCAGAGTAGCTCTGGATGTTTGAAGATGCAAAGACTTGGGGCGATCTCTCTGAGCCGGATAATCCTGTTGACTTTCGAAGACCAGCTGGAATAAAACGGGCGCAAAATAAATCTATTTTATAGAATTGATGTTTAAAAGAGGTTAGGATTCATTACCACACACCCTTGGGAGTATTGCCTCGATTTTAACGTCGAAAAATAATGAGTTTGAAGAATTCCGACTGGTTCTGCCTTCTGCACTCATTAAGGAATGATGAAGGTTAAGAATGAAGGAGTTGAACCACAGACAAGAGCAGACATCAAAGTTCACTTGAATCGGGTTAAGTTGCACGTAGAATTTGGGCAGTGGCACTGAAAAGAGCAGACAATTATTTTTACCAATTTGATTTTAGAGAATTACTGATGCACTTCTGAGGGTATTTCTTGTGCCAATGGCTTACATGGAAATGCGATGTCTGCTGGATAATAATAGTATGTGAACTCGGCATGGAGAATCTGCACATCCTCAGGAAGACAAAACCTGTCCCGATCACCTGAACATAATGAGCATCCCGTAATTATAGTTAAAGTTTAGGAAACAAGGTTTACGTGTTTACATGCTGACATAACGATACGGAACTGTCCGTCTACTGGCACGACATTCCACTTGTAAACAACTCGTCGACGTGATGTCTAACCATTCACCTGTACACATATGTAACATATCTTCTGTGCACGCTCCTACCGAAGAAAGCTGACCACAAGATCAGAAATGTCTACACCACTTGGGAAAGTTCAACATTGTTAACAGATGATAATATGGGTTACACATGGCGCGATATGAACCCAAATACCTTAACGTCAAAGGTCTTCGGTGATTGGGGATTCCACCGAGGCACAAAATCTAAAATATTCTTTTCAAGTACTGCGAGATACTATCTCCACGTAGAACATGTGAAAGGGAACGGAGATTCGAAATCTACTCGAAAATGTTCCAAAAGAATATTTTAAGTTATTAGGAATGCCTAGTGGCAGTATCGAAAGAATGATGAAGAATGCTATGTAACAACTAAGCAAGCATAAAACAGCTACTTGTCAATTGTACCTGACGTATGCTTCTTCCTCGTTTGAGCTGTGCAATTGTCAAATCAGGGTTATTATTGTCAAAATTGCAGTAGCCTAGCGGAATCGCTGAGGACTCAGCGACTCGCTAAAAGCAAACGAGAGTTCAACTTGAAAATAACAGAGCCTCTCACCTGCAATAAACTCTTTCGGTGAAGGTTTTCGAGACGAAGTTGTAACTTTGTACAGAGTGAAGTCATCTATCCTAATTATGACACACGTGGTCATGAGTTTGGCAAGCTGTTCTAAAACGTAGTTCTTGACTGGATTGCCACTTGGCTGCTGGGATGACTTCTTCGGATCGGTGGAACTGTTTGAATTCTGCGCTTGAGCTGCTTTGTCTTTTTCATCAAGATTTTTTGCTGCATTCCCTGCATGATATAGATAAATAAAGTAATACGTGAAGCCACTATCTTCAATAATTTTATAAATTGTAATTGAGGTATAACCTGTTGCATTTGCTTGATTTTTTGACAGTGGTGATTGCTGTGTTCGGCCTGAATCAATCAGATCCATGAACTGCCCTCGGAAGCTGTTCAGAGACTGCTGCAGCCACTGGCTGTGTGGTGTAGCGTTCTCCTTATACTTGGCCCAATGTTTCCTGTCTGCCATTGCCAAGTGATAAGGATAATAATCAATTTGGAATTTCACTAAAGAAATCTGGAGCGCTCCACCCTCTTTTAAATCCGGGTGCAATGATCTTCCAGCTAACAAACAAAAGAGTGTGTCACAAGAAACAATTCATGTAAATATTGTTATACATTTAATAAGATTCAAAGTATATACCTCCAGGATCGTCACACAAATGTAGATCGATCCTTTGACAAAGAAAATGGTAAGACGTTTCGACAACATCATACCCAGCTAAGATTTTTGATGCAGTAGGATTGGACTGCGTTTTGGATCTTGCTTGTTGACTGATTTGCGCCTGATATTCCGGAAGTACCTAATTACAGCAAGGATTTATTTGATCAGAGTCAGTTTGTAAAAAATCTTGATAATATCCATTCTTTACAAAGTGTACCTCCAGTTTCCTAGCAGCTTTTGTTTTTCGTTCCAAGAGAGTCGCTTTCTCGACGAGACCACCCAGAGAATCAAGAAAATGTAGTGCCGCTTTCAGTTGAGAGTCAGTCAGTACCCACAGAAGATCATCTAGGATAAGAACAAGTCTTGATCCCATGACAAAACAATCTGATATTCTCTTCTTTATGGTTATTCGACACCTAGCTTGATTCGTTAACAAACGTAACGGCGTGAGATCTTTATCTTTGGTACTGCGTGCCTCTATTCTGACGGTTTGCCATTCCAATTCCTTAAAAATTAATAGCTGCCCTCTGTCAGGATCTTTCAGTCTTGTCATTCTTAAGTCACAAGACTTCCAAGTAGGTGACTTTGATTCTACTACGATACGAGCCATCTGCAGGAAAGTAAAATGAAATATAAATAAACCAAATCTTTCTGCAATGAAAATAGTTCCAAATATTCTGTGTTTAAGCTACCTGTACTGAAGCTACAAATGCAGGACTTTTAAAGGTAACGGACACTGTATTAACGGTAATGGTTATCCCATCGATAACTTTATGTATAAAGGAATATTTGGCAGGTCCTGCATAAGATGACAGTCCCTGTGGCGAAGACATGTTCCTCAAGTCTTCACACGTCTCCACCTCGATGTGTACCTCATCCAAACTCTGCAATGATGTCAAATGTATTACTATTCATTGCCAATGATTTTTTAGGGAATCGAGTAAAGCATTAAAAGGGGACTCACCAAAAAAATAGGAACATTTCTTAGCTTGGTCCATTGTATACGAAAAGAAACCTTATTACACCAAGCACTCGTTAGCCTTAACCACGATGGTAATTCCAACAAGTCAGTCAATACAGTCTCATCGAGTTCTAGATTTGTCAGTTCCCCTTCACCTTTGAACGTACTTAAATTGATCTTGTCAGCCGATAGATTCTTAGTAAATCTGCAAAATATATGTCAACCGTGACTAAACGCTTTTCAAGGTAAAATAAATTTGTATCCCCATTTCAGATGTTCTACGCTGCAAGGAAACGTGAAACAATTATCAATAAAGTTGCAGGCTCTATCGGTACAATTAACTGTTTAAAAATATATAAGAATTCTGAACTTCTTCTTCGTTATTAAGTCGCTATTTCGTAACATACCCGTTGAAGCTTTACGCTTTGTTCTTCAATGGGTTCAAGAGCCCATTGCGACACTTCTTGACCGAGAGAAGAAACTATGCTCAAACAAAAAGTAATTCGGTCTGCTCCATCCGAGTCAGTACTAGGCATCGATCAGACACAAGTAGAATAAATCAACAGAGTGTCCGAGTCTGGGGATATATTTCCGATATTTTCCCAAATGAGTGAATAATTCGATAAGATCATTGTCTCACGACAAAAGGGCGGTGCATTTTCTGATCTGTCAATTCGCGACGGCGACACATATAGGAATAGCTCGGTAGGGGAGACATACCTTGACAGATGTTTCAACAGTTGATTTTTAATTATCGACACCATCTTTCGCAGTTACTTGTCAATTCCTGGAGCGGTTAATGCACCTCAGCATGGTTAAGTACCGCACCACGTATCCAAAGCTCGCCAGGAATCACCTCTCGCCTCCCCGCTCGAGATTCGCTGGGCGCGTGACGTTTACTAGCATTTATAATAAAGACATTTTGAGAGTACGCACGCACGGAGATTTAATCTTCGTGACTCAGTACCGCCACCTCACGGGGTCGCCAAAACTACACGCATTGTTGACATTAGGTTTGTTCGTTTTGCCTACACTTTCTACACTTTTACGAAAAGTGTACACTTTGGCGTTCGTTTTGACGGAAGTGACGCAGCGTCGCTGTTCGTTTTGCGAGTGCATCTACCCCGAGATAAAGTTCGAAAATTCTCGGTAACATTAAATTGGAGAAGGTAACTGTGAAACATACCGTAAGTTACCGGGAACATTGAGAATTTAAGAGAACGTTAATTTTGTTATTTATACTTTAGGTTTCTTCGTTTAAATAACTTTTTTTTTTTCAATCAACTTCAAAGTTCAACCTAAAGAGTAATAATTACTATTAGAAAATATTGATTATAGGGTCGTATTTACCTCCAGCTAAAAATATTCACGTATCTACAACTTTACGAAAAATTCCATGCGATTTGTTTCAAATGAGCTGATATTTCATTCTGCGACGAAGCGAATGGAAGGTTTTGATTGGCTACGGAGAACGTACAACGGAAATTCCCCTCTACGATGTTTCTCTATAGCTAATCGATACCTCTCGTTCGCTCTGTTGAAAAATTCAAATTCTCATAATTTCTCGATAAAAAATGCTTTGGAGAAATTACCGATAAGTTACCGGGAATTTCTCTTCTTTTCTGACGTAACTTACTGGATTTAGAACTCTAGGGGTGACACTCTGATCGTAGAAATTAGATGGTGTTTGCAGCGCCATCTGACCTAGTAGACGGAAGTGAAGAACTAATTTTGCGCTTTTGCGTTACTCATTAACCAATGACATCTATATTATTTCTTCAGAACCCTGTGTACCCTGGCGACATCTATGATTTTCATTTTGCACCTTCTAGTTAATCTACCTTCTTTTGTTCATTTCCAATGATTAAATCATTATAGTTTGAAATAACCTATAATAGCGTTAATAGTTGCTATAATAATACCGTGTAATGAACTTTAACAATAAATAATTACTGTAAAAAGTGTATCTATTATTTATATTCTAAAGAAACTTAGTATATTGTCAGTGCGTTCTTTATTACAATGAAATCAAAATTAGTTCACATTTTGTTCCTATATTCATTTCATTATTCCTAAAAATGTCTTTTTATTCCTAAAATTACGAAATTATTCTACATTTCAAACACAACGCAGCGCCGTAGGAAGGTTTATATGTAACTTGGTAAGTCGAATGTAAATTACATTACTATAGGTTATGTTTCTTTGAAACTCATAGATTATTATACAAGAAAAATATTT